CCACGGCAGGCATATTCTCAGCCTACAATAAATGCATTGCTAGATGAACCACCACATTTACATTTAACCAGGCGACAGCTCAACGGAGACAGCCGTGTCTGGAAAATGCGACCAGGAAAATAGAAAAAAACTGGTTTTGCCTTGGGCAATGCGGTCTGTGTAAATGAGGCCAAGGTATGGATTGTATGCACCTACTGTGCACACTCACTGTTGCTAAGCGTCTGCACATGCAATAGAATATTCTGATGCTGCACAGACCACGCACGGTATCAGATGTTTAAAGTACGGTACTCAATTTCAACATCGCTACCATCAGCCATTGTCTATCTACTGCTGGATGAAGTCCTCTCTCGCCATCAACATCCCCCGTTGCCCATTGTTGCTACCGTGTTCACCTTCATTACGTGTACATGAACGGATATCTTATTCGCCTCTTGCAACATAGCCAAAGCAGAATATCCCTGGCTTCAATACTCCACGAAACTTATGGGCCAGAACCTTAAAGCACAACCGCACAAAGCATGACAGATGATGCACAAATGTAAACACGTTAAATTCTGCAGCAGTGTGCGACTGTGGTTACCCTGAACAAGGCCATGGAACATATAACGTGACGCAATGTCCGATACACAAAACGAAGGAGGTGGCATTATCACAACCATACACTCTGCCACTCCTGACGCAACTATCTGGCTCATCAACCACCACAATGTAAAATTACACTCGTTGCTCTACAAAGGAGTAGGAGGCGGTGGTTGTTGACCTGTCCTTTGGCTGCTATTGTCACCAGTCTCATCCGCAGACAATCATCATCTCATACTGGTGTCGAAAAGCTGGTGTACGTTTATTGTGTGAGATGTGCACTGTGACTGATGGACACAAACCGAGCGTTGGTATTCACAAGGAAACGGTGGTGTGGTTTAAATCCTCCCTCAAGACGCATAACGTATCTCCTCTTGCTTGCGGTTCTCTAAATTAGATTGTCTTCCTAGCTTTCCCTCCCCTTGCCCGATAATACGTTTATGTTAATTTATAGTGCTTTAAATACATGCCTGGTGGAAAGGGGGCTTTATAAATGCAATTGATTAATATTATTAAGACTTTACTTTACATAATTCTCATACTGCATGGTATAATGTACAGTATATATTGCTGTCCACGATACAATAATATACAGCTCTGATAATTCAATGCTGTGTAAAGCCCCTTTTCCACGTCGTGTCGGTCATGAGGCTTGGTGTTGTTTGACCATACTTAACCACACTTGTCAGTGCGGGACGGTGAAATGGGAACGCACGTGGCATGGCCACACACATCACTCGCCACAGATTTAGCCGTGACCGGGAATTGAACTCGTGTGGCCAGGTTAACAGCGCCACCTCTCCCTCCATAGTGTATTTTCAGGTCTGTAACAGAAACAAGCACTGCCATTTGAAGGACATTAGAACTCTTGCTGTGGCGCTGAATGGGCCCTACGGTGTTAGACGGAGGGCTCCCACCAATAATAACACATGGCAACCGATACCAAATGTGTGTATTAGGCTGTGACTGCTGATTAAACTTTGAAAGCCAAAACCAGACGCGTGGCCCAGAGGTTGCTTGCTTAAACAGCTCCTGCAGGGAAATATTTGTCCAATAGACTAAAATATAATTGTGTTTTTTTCTGTGGCGAAACAGACTCCTATCGATATATTTTTCTTCTCGGTAGCCAAAACTCCCATTACTGCATTGGGTTGAATGCTAAGATTTATAAAACGCTCCATAATGAGACACCCCTCCCAAACCTGTACCTGGTGGGAGTAAAGCATAGAATTGTGGTCACACACACCTACTATACTGGATTAAAAGACGCACCCAGTTTGGCTTAAAATATAAGGACATTGTGCATCTTATAATCTGGAGAATACACTAATTCTTAACGTGTGCCTCTTCTCAAGTACAATCAACTATCCTCAAACATGTACGTGTTTGTATTGAATACTGCCACGGTATTACGGTTAGCGTACTGGACTTTCAATCCAGAGGTGGCTGATTCACCAATGAACCTCCTTGCGTGGCAGATGAAACAATTGGATTGTTTCTCAAATCCCCCCCCAACCCCATCTCGGCCCACCCAACTTCATCTTTCAGCAACCCACTTGTGGTGAGGTAAAGCGTGGGTATTCCCAGGGGACATCTACGGGCTATCTGACCATGCCATGTGGTAATGATGATGACTCCCACTTCTAAAAAAAGGCATTTTGTAAAATTCGTCCGCAGCTAAAAAGTACTACGGTTGGAGAAGCATCATCTTGATGAGATATTTTACTCCCCACAATTGTTTGGACATTAACTCCCACCTCTTCCAAGATGTTTTACGGATATGAACGACAGATAAAGTAGGTCAAATGCTCTCAAAAGCAGGTCTCTATAGTCCCTCGAGCGAAGACCCTTCCGCTGGCAGTAACACGAGCAAGTAATTTCAGAAGTGAAAATTAACTTTAAAAAAGTATATATCTATTATGGAAAACATTATTGATCTTAGTCACTGCTGACGTGGCAACGCGTGGCAATGCATGGCAAGCCCGCTGCGTGACTGTGTGGGTTTGTTGTTTGAGCCCTGGATTGCGCCTCGGGATTGTCCCATCAATCACGTGGCTCGCTCTTCTGGATTGTCTTGTGTGTAGGAATGGGTCTATCTCTTGGTCGTGTTGGCACCTCCCAGGCTAACTCGCGTTTAAAGCCCTTTGCCCAATCCACTGCTGGGTGAAGGCCAGGAATACAACTTGGGTCGTCAGGTTCCTAGAGCAGTGCGCTAACCACTGCACCACCACTGCAAACCCCTAATACCGTGCAGTACTGAACTCAACTAGTATGCAATATACTGAATAAACATATACAAAGGATACATATATATTAGCACAACAACATTCAGTACACCTCAACCTAATCCACATATTGATGGAAACAGATTTAACACAATGCACTTACAGGATTATTGAATCTCGTCTGCTGGTACAGACATGTTTTTCTTGTTTAGGTTTTGTGCTTTATTTTTGCATGACCTTGTTTGAAATGGCTGGTTATATCTCTATCCTTTCCCCGAATCGCGCCTTGAGATTCCCTATTGTTATCTAGACGCTGTATAAGTTACACTTATTTTTTGTCGTTTCTTAATCCTATCGGCCAAGCGAATTGTTTGACCATACTTCCCTCGCGCCGGTCAGTGCGGGTTGGTGGTGGGCTTCCAGGACCAGTGGAAGAGGCCATTATTCGCCACTTGTGTTATAGCCAAGGTCGCGAATCAAAGTCAGGTCACAGAAGTTCACAACGCAGACCTGGGAAGCTCAGCAGGTTGTGCGCCTGGGTGAGTGACCACGATGCGCGAAAGGCAGGCGTCGTAGGCGTACGTGCAGTAGAGGGCAGTGCGGCTAAATCCATTGTTGTTTTGGACACTCAAACCGCACCTTCGTCATCACGGGGTGTGTCACGCGTACCAGAAGCTCGTCAACACATGCCTGCCTACCAAATGTCCCCATTCGCCGTTCCCAGGCCACTGGAATTTTCCCGAAAACAGGCACTGCTCCAGGGACTGTCCAATGGGTGCTGGGGTGGGCTTCTGGGGATGGAGAGAGATGGAGAGGGAGGAGCGAACCTTTATTTTAGCACGACCTTGTTTACAGGGAGGACATACAAAAAAAACCGTAGGGGGTGTTGGCACATTTATTGTACCAACAAGTTTTGACTTGACTGTAAGAATTTTAAAAGCAGGGTATGAAGCCTTCAGCAAGGGGCGAGGTGGGGGGCGAGAAAGGGGGGCTCAGCCCCCTATAACCATTCCTCCCCGACGTTACAGGACTGGCGAGAAGTGGCAATGTTGGTGCTGGTAGTCAGTGGGGTATTAGGGATAGGGCCCCAAGTAACTTAAGATACCCCTGATTCATAACAACAAAAATTTGGGGTTTTCAAATATAATCTTGAATTAAAATCCTACTAAATAAATCTAAAACACCGATTAATACAAATAGCTAATTCACCTCCCCCTTCTCTCGTTTCACTAGATAAATGTTGTCTTTACTGACTTCGTCAATTGAAAAGTCCCCCAAAACATTGTCTACATCTTTATTTTAAATGTCATTTAACTGATATCGTATGAATTGACAGGGGGGCCCCCCCTAAATCTCTCGGCAACACCACTGTTGATGTCACCGGTTAATGTAGTTTGCTTGAGACATTCCGCTTGGAAGTGTTGGTCTGAAAAGCCAATAAAGTGGGCTGCTGGATTTACAAAACAATAACAACAATAGAAATGCACGGTGTTTATTTGTAGAGGCACCAGAGTTCTGCTTCTTGTATGGTTTCACCCACTTGCAGCTCACAACTTGGTGGTGGTTGTTGTTATTGTTGTTGGTTGCGGTGGTTGTTCTTGGTTTATTGCTGTGGTCGGTTGTTGTTGTGGCTGGTTTGTTGGTTTTGGTGGGTTGTTGTTGTGGCTGCTTGTTGTTGTGGTCGGTTGTTGTTGTGGCTGGTTTGTTGGCTTTGGTGGGTTGTTGTTGTGGCTGCTTGTTGTTGTGGTCGGTTTTTGTTGTGGCTGGTTTGTTGGCTTTGGTGGGTTGTTGGTGGGTTGTTGTTGTGGCTGATTGTTGTTGTGGTCGGTTGTTGTCGTGGCTGGTTTGTTGGCTTTGGTGGGTTGTTGTTGTGGTGGATTGTTGTTGTGGCTGCTTGTTGTTGTGGTCGGTTTTTGTTGTGGCTGGTTTGTTGGCTTTGGTGGGTTGTTGTTGTGGCTGATTGTTGTGGCTGATTGTTGTTGTGGTCGCTTGTTGTTGTGGCTGGTTTGTTGGCTTTGGTGGGTTGTTGGTGTGGCTGATTGTTGTTGTGGTCGATTGTTGTTGTGGTCGCTTGTTGTTGTGGCTGGTTTGTTGGCTTTGGTGGGTTGTTGTTGGTGGTGGGTGTAAGAGTGAAGCGAGCAGAAGACGACGACACAGGCGGGGTGCGGGGTGGGCGGAGCGAATATCGATGCCTCCTCGGGTCGCGCAGTTCTGACGCAACCATCATCACCACCACCACCGTAGTCGCCTCCGCTTCTTCTTCTTCTACTACTACTGCTGCTGCTCTCTCGACTACTCACAGCTTGCTGCCTGTGGGGGAGGTGATCCACGTTCTTCTTTACAAGCGTCGAGAGACAAATCCCCGAAGATGGTGTCGTGGCTCATCTCGAGGCTGGTCGTGTAAGTCTGCCTGCAACAGCGGCACCAGCATCATCATCATCGTCAGCATTTATTACATTACAACATCACCAAAACCGGATCCCTCTGGGGTACTAGCGAGATGTGGCCTAGGCTTGGTTCGTTTTCTTCTTCTTCTTAGCTGTGCGCGTTCCTGTGTGTTTGTTTGTTGTGTCTCCCAACGAGGATAAGAGACGTGGAATGAAACATCGGCGATGCGTAATTGGCGACACGGTGGTTACGGGATGCTCGCTGCGTCGAGGGATGGGGGACGTCGCGTTTGTTAAACCTCATCGCTTGTCGTTAGCCGGACTAAAAAGTAAACATTTTGTGACTCGTTGTACACATCCACGTTACAAAAGCGTCGCTGGCAATTGTCAGTGGATATGTCGGGCGCGTAAGTTGTGAGGTGCCAAAACAGCTCGTTGTGACATCCGCGGCCGGGTGAGAAAGGGCCCATTTCTGGTGCCATTATCGGTCACGAGTTGATGTTTGTTTTGTTTGTTTGACCCACACTTTGCCATGCTGGGTTAGTGCAGACTGGTGAAAGGAGGTGGATGGGGTGGATGGGATGGATGGGGAGGGAAGAAGAGGCCGAAGACCAGACACGGGTTCAGACAACGCTCGCCACAGATGTTTACACGTGGGCCTGGGAATCGAACTCTGGTGGCTTTGGGTTCAAAAAACAGGGCCCTCACCCCCAATCATACACGTGGCAGGGAGTTTATGAATATTGTACCTTCGATCGGAATACTGTAACATGAAACTGCAAACTTTGTACTACAGTACATACATATACTGTTGATGTTGGTCATACACATGTTAAACACTCGAATCGAAGTCGTTTGAAAACAGAGTTTTGTCTTAGTACCAAGGGTACACTACACCCAAGTACTATTATAATTAAACAACTTACGAGTACTTGAGTCGTAACTTAGCAAGTCATAGCTTGTGTGTTTTGTGTGCCCTTCGTGATGGATGTTAGGAATGCATGGAGAGTAATGTGCGTGCGTGGTTGTACAATACATAGATATGTGAAGTACACATACAGTGATGGGTGTTATAGGCTAACGTTTTAAATGCTATTAACCCAGCTTTTCTGACTGAGTTCAATTCCCAGCAATGGATAACATTAGTGGAAAGTGATAACTGAACTTGTCTCCTTAAACCAACCCGCATTGGCAAAACGTGAATTATAGTCAAACGCCCCCCATGACCGCGACACGGTTTTGGGAGGCTTTCGTCCAGTGGAGTGTGGTAACAAAGAGTTGGTGAAGAAACTCACGTTATATATACATACACACAATATACTGTACATCAGATTGCATTGCTGACATGACATGCACGTTTTGGGTTTGAACCTGACATCGTCAGGCATTGACAAAGGTGTTTTTTTGTCGTGAAAGTTCATCATCATTTTAAAAATAAACACTGCGAACAAATGACGTGTGGCTCTATAATGGCAATGCGTCAGCACGGCCATATGTTTGGTCGGATTTTGTGATGACTGTATTTGTTTAGATTGTTCGAGACAAATATATTACAGTAAATAACGGTTGAACGTCAAAGTTATACAGCATTGTATTTCTCAATGTGGATCAAATACTTTTTTGGGTGGAGTAATTGATAGTGCAGTGGTTAGTAGACTATGCTGTTAACCTTGCAACAACCTGACTTAGTGGCCAGTGATATCTGCTTCAACCCCCCCCCCCCCACCTTTAACAATTGGCACTAACTAGCGTGGTGAAGTATGGTCCAACAATTCCATGACTTTCACATGGGAAGGCATAAATCCAGTGGTAAACTTACAAGTGGCTGTGTATTCACGACCATGTAATACTCAATTTGTAGTGAAGCTTCAAATCTAGAAGTGAAAATCTAGTTTATTATTTGAGCTAACATTCGTCCACAGTTTTGTTTGCCGAGTTAAATCCCTGGCCACGTTTTTGGTTTGTCAACAGGAGTAACATCGTCGTGATGAAGTTCTGTTCAACTCTAGCCATCTCGTTATTTTTTAGCCGGGCACTAAATCTCATTGTCCCATGTGCTGAATTTGCTTTGGATGGTGGAGTTGTTTTTGCAGCAGTCATGGAAATTACACATTTCTTTGGCAGGAAATATATGAATAACTTTACCTCCCAGTGGTCCTCACCAGGTGGCCCGTGCAGGCCATAATTTGTAAAATCCTTTAGTTCTATTCCACTCGCACATGGGACAATATCTCGAATATCTCGATCCCAGTTTTCAATATGCCTTGGTCAATTTGTACGTGTTTTTGGGATGTTTTCAAATGCCTGAATTTCTGGATCAATTTCCCTTTCACATTTACATTTCACATTTACATATTGATTTAAAATCCAATATAGTGCTGCATTTTGTAATGCTTGATTTTGTTTTGTACTTTTCTTATTTTTTATTCACGTCTTCTCCTTTAAAGTCATACTTTTAGTTTCAACAGGCACATAGCTGATTATAAGTGAAATACTTGAATTACAGGTACAGTCATAATTTTACTGACCTTAGAAGTTTGTACGCAGTCAGCCCAGGCTGGATTCTCAGATATATCAGTCAGGTAATTACAACCAAGAGTTACGCATTTTGAGTGGCCACTCTACAAATAAACAGTGTGTGGATAGATCAAAACGAAGCTGACAGTTGAATTGACAAAGGCATAGTTTTACTAGATTGACATGTGAATCTGTGTCAAAACACATTGACACCACGATATACGTTACATTAAAAATCACAAACATATAATAACAACACACTTGTGTTATGTTTATATGTGAAATATGGCTAAACACATGACAGTAGATCTAGATTTGAAGCTTTCGTGACTGCAAAGATTCATATTCTTAGGTTTTTTCGATAAAGTCACGTAGGTAAAACATTAAAAAGTAAAATAAAATAAAAATCACGACGTTTCGGAGGCAACACAAGCTTCCGTCTTCAGGTGGGACCGTCACAGCCACGACAGCTGTATCAAGTAAATGAGAGATTGCAGGAGCTACCACTCCGTTTATATAATGGTTGGAGAAGGTGGTGGGGCAAGGGCCGCATACTTTTTATTAATATGGTGAGGTGAGGCTTAAGAGGGTGAGCCTTTGTTATGGAGAGGTACGGTTTGTGAATCAACCTGTGACAGGGAGACAACCACTACACATGGTAAAACTGTAATAGTTGTCTGTCAAATAAGATTGGCAAATAAGTAGTTAAATCTTTTTTGCATGGTTAATCATTGGAAAGATGTGACGGAAGCTTTTGTTGACTCCGAAACGTCGTGATATTTATTTTATTTTACTTTTTAATGTTTTACCTATGTGACTTTACCGAAAAAACCTAAGTACATGACAGTAGTGTACCACCCACCGTCTGGTGATTAAGTGCAAATATTAATGTTGATGTGGTTATACATCACGAAATTCAAGGGACTTCAGGCATATTTGTAATTGTCCAGACAAGTATATCAGTAGAGTACCATTTATTTTGATATTCGTCATAATTGCGTGTTTCTATGCGAATTGTGCTGTTTGCGTCGCCTATGGCTTTAGGCATTTTATGATTGACGTCACTCCAGTGGTGTTGCAGTTAAGATCTATAAACTAAAATATTGTCATAATTTTTACACAGTTTTTGTCAACTTTATTTTAAATACATTGATGGACTCAATTAAATTATCTCCACAAATAGGCAAATTAATGACATGCAAATCTACTTTTTTGATCGTTTCAAGGTGTCTCCTCTCCACTAAAATCAAATTCTCGTAGTCACCACCCACAGCGCAGGAGGGTTATTTAGAATGTGTCTGCTCTTTGGATTTCGCTGGCCACAAAAAAACGGTTGTTGAATTGGCACAATTCTATTGGGTTAGTTTGAAGCAGGCGCTTTTTTTCTCTGTGCGTACAGTTCAGTGCTAGGTAAATCTTCCTCCCCCTGTGTGTGAGAAGCATGGATGTGTGGAAGCTAGTTTCTTTTTTACCCATAGAAAAGAAAACATTGCCGTACAGTGCCTCAACAGTGAACAAAGAGATTTGTTTTCAATTTCCCGTTGGAGTAAAAAAAAACTTTTCATGGTGCCTGGCATGTGGAGATGATGCTTTTTCAACCGCACTATTACAGACAAACTCACCCTATTACGCGCTACTCCTGTTATCTGCTGGAGATGTTGAGTCCGTGAAAACTATTATCAGAGGACATATTTTTCGTGTTCCCAATTATTTATGAAATTTTTTTAGGCATGGTTGAGTGGACAAAAATCGTCGATAACATCGCTGATAATAATACCTGCGTTTAACACGTAGGCTTTCGCATGTCCATTAACTTTTGGTCTGCCCCATAATCACCGAGATTATGGAGAGTTGCGTACTCTTACTTCAGTCCCTTCTCTTTGCGAAGGTGCTTGCTCTGCATATACCTTGTGACTTGTTTTTACACTGCCAGAGTAACATTTTTTACAAGCGATTTTTTTTCCTTTTATAGGCAAGCTCTGTAATTTTGTCCAGATGCGGATTGGAATTCATGACCTTTTACGGTTGATGTTAGCTGCTTAGCTCGAAAAGGCCAACAGGGTGGAGACCATTGTCAAGAAAATGATCTGAACAAGTGGCACACGAGACAATGGGACATTGTGTACTGTTGAGGGGGTTTAAGGTGGCACGACAATATTATTCCGTTTGGAATCGATGGTGAGCTGCAGCATAAAAATAACCTAGCCTGCACCTGTGAAAAATGTCATTTACAATACATTAGTAAGTGAAAAATAGGCAGTTACTATTGCTTTGTTATTTTTCAAAAGTTTGATCAATTTTATGAAGTAAAATGTAGTTTATTACAAGATCATGTGTTTTTTAGAACATTATTTAAAACACTGTGGCAGGGTTGGAGTTCCACTGAAATGTAGTTACTAAATATGTATTCATGTCGGGTATTTTTTTTATATTTATCTTATTTTAAATTATTAATAATATTGATGTACGCAGTGCGGCAGTGGTGTCGACATCTGC